CCGGCCGGCGCCCCCAGACGCCCTCGGAGGACTTGGGGGGGACTGAATACCCACCGTGGCCGGCCGTCAGGTGCTCCTCAGGGAAAGGTGACTGACTCGGGAGAGGACATGGGCGGGGGAGGGGGGGAAAGAGGGGGTCGCAGGGAGGCAGCGGGGGCCGGACACGGAGGACCTGCAGCTGCCCAGGGCCGGTGTGGAACCAAGATCCACTGTGACCCCTGCCCTCGTGGGCAAGGGCCCTGCACTACCGTCTTCACGGGGCACGGCCGGGTCTGCCGGCCCCATAGGCCCCTGTTCCCTCGAGGAGGGACAGCCTCTCTGTCCTGTCCACTCGCAGGGCCAGAGCCGGACATGACGAGTGGGTACAATAGGAGCTTCGCCTTGTCCCACCAGCCTTGGCCCCGCCAGCCTCGCCTTCTGTCTGTGAAACAGGACATTAGCCGAGGTGGGCTCCTGGGGCTGTGGCTGGAACGAAGGTCCCGAAATGTCTGGAGGACCCCACTGCCTCCCTGGCTCTGGGCGGCCCCCTGACTCCTGCCCTGACCCTCCGCCCACCCAGCTGAGCCCCCGGGCACTGGGTCCAGCCCCTGGGCTCCAGGTCCTCCGTGTGCCAGCGGAGAGGGGACAGGAGAGGAGGAGGAGGGCAGAGCAGAGGGGAGGCCAGAGAGGCAGTGCCCACGGGCGTGGCCAGCTGAGCACGGGCCTGCGGTGTTGGCAAGACCTGGGAGATTGGAAGGGGGCCGTGCGGGCGTGAGGTATCCATCAGCCACAGGGCGCCTTGGGGTGGAGGAAGGAAGGGTGTTCAGAGCGTGACCGGGCATAGCCACCTGGAAGCCACCGCTCCATGTGCCCGTGGGCGCGTGGCCCCTGTGCCCACAGGAGAGGTTCAGGGCGGGACCGAGGGCGCCAGTCAGGTTGGAAGCCTCCGGGCCCAAGAGCTCGCTTCCAGGGAGAAAGCTCCTCCCTCAGGGGCCGCCTGTGGGGACGTCTAGATGGAGGCGGGACCACGGGAAGCAGAGGGCCCTCAGGGCAGCACAGGCCACAGCTGGGAGCCCGGCTGTGAACTCGGGAGACAGCGAAGACTCAGGCCAACGCCGCTGAGGCGTCCCAGGTGGGGTGTCCTCTGGGCACCACGGCCACTGGTCTCGCGGGTACAGACCCATCGTCTGTCTCCCAGGGACTAGAAGGCGCCTCACTCTGTTCTTTCAAGAGACACCATGTGTTTTCATTTGGGGGGGGTGGTCATTGAAGGCCGCTACCCAGGAGTCGAACAGACACTGACGTAGCCATTTGGGGAGCATCTGAGACGCCCCTGGCCAGCTCGGCCATCAGAACGGCCTTCGGGCCGGGCAGGGCCCAGCGGACGGGCCCTGGGGAGACCCCAGTGGTCCAGTGACCTGGGACCTGCCCCCAAGACTGAGCAGGAGACCAACCATAAAGAATTAATTTAAAAAAAGACCGAGGCAGTGTCTGCTTCCCGGCAGCGGGGGCTCCGGCGCCCTGAACGCCTGCAGGAT